GTTAGGAGATCGTTACATGAAATACCTAACCGTTAGGAGATCGTTACTTGAAATACCTAAACGTTAGGAGATCGTTACTTGAAATACCTAACCGTTAGGAGATCGTTACTTCAAATACCTAAACGTTAGGAGATCGTTACTTATCGAAAATACATGTCATACAGGGAAGTATTCAATTGCATTAAGTATAGGTTTGAAAGGTTAAAAGTATCGAAAATGGGGAAATATGTAAAAATCGCCATACATTTAGAAGAAAATGGGTACTTTTTTGTCTCGTAATGTGTTCGGCTTTCAGTCGCCAATACGTACCTGTAGTGTGATGGTTGCTGGTCCAGAACATACGTCACTCGCTTTGAATTTACTACGACATGGAACCTGCTTCACCAGCTAAAAATAGAAAATATATATGGTGATGATGATGGGGTTAAGGAGGATGGATGATGGTCGTGCTGGTGATGGAGAGGATGGGTGGATGGATAATGATGGATGATGAAGATAGATGGATGATGACGATAGTAATGAAGATTATTGGTCGATGATTATCGAGGTGGTGATTGTGGTGATGATGATGGAGGTTGATGATGATTGATGATGATGATGATGATGAAGGATGGATGATGGTCGTGCTGGTGATGGAGACGATGGGTGGATGGATAATGATGGATGATGACGATGGTAATGAAGATTATTGTTCGATGTTTATCGAGGTGGTGATTGTGGTGATGGTGATGGATAGCTTGGGTGAAAACATCTTTTGTTCATATGCCTTATATGGTGTTGATTGTACCCAAGCTAGACCACAATGCATCATGTTTATCAAACTCAGACAAACCCATGATAACTCACCCTAGTCATTTGATTGGTTTTCAATCTTGGAATGAGGTCTACATAGTCTTCATCCAAGGCAACATGGTGATCTGCATCCCTACAGAACTGCCTGAAAATAAAGAAATCATGAACTATCATCATCATCGCTATCATTATCAACATCATAATTACCATCATCATCATCATTACCATCATTGCTGTTAGCACTATCACCACTATCATTATCGCCATCATCACCATCATCATCACCACCATCATCATCACCACCATCATCATCTCCATTACCATCATCACCATTCTCATCATCATCAAGGATCAACTCCATCATTATCCCATTATTGATCATCATCGTCATCGTCATCATCACCATCATGTACCATCATCATCATTCTCATCATCATCATCATTTCATTAAAAGTTGATTCTGAATTTTCAGATATTTTTTTTGGAAGATTAGAACCGTACATAAATGGATGGACTGGACGTCTGTTAACGGGTTCTTGAATCGCCAAAAACATTTTCATCGAATTTTCAGTTTTTGAATGGGTGTGGATGATCTTAATGAATAGAAAAAACATGTCCAACCTCTAAAATTTGATTCAGGCTTCTAAATTCTGAATCTTGAGCGATTTTTTAACATTGGAAAATCCGGAACCGAGCATGGCTGGACTGGACTGAACTTCGGTTAACTGGATTGTCCGGATCGTAAAAAAGCTTTTTACGCCGAATTTGCAGTTTTTATCACCATTATCATCATCATCACCACTACCATCATCATTACCATCACAATTATCATCATCATCATAACCATTCTCATCATCACCACCATCATAAAATTACTTACTTGGCATGTGCTAGTAGTTTCTGCAGACAGTCAAAAACTTTGTTGATAACCTTCTGTTTGTTTGTCAAGAATTTTTCATCAAAGGGAGGGAGAGGAGATTCCATCATGACCACGGGGGGAGGGGGGAGTGGTGGTTGGTGTGTTCTCATTCGTTTGATTATTCTTCCTGTGGCTGAAAAAAAAGAACTCTTTACCTTGGGCCTATTGTTTTACCATTTCAGACCACTTGTCATTCCCTTGAGTATTATTTCTTTCTTTACTAAAAATGCTTTCCAGCTATGGTTTAATGTTTTCCCATTTCAGAAAATGTGTCATTCTCTTGAGTATTTTTCTTTCTTTACTAAAAATGCTTTCCAGCTATGGTGCAATGTTTTCCCATTTCAGACCATGTGTCATTCCCTTGAGTATTATTTCTTTCTTTACTAGGAATGCTTTTCAGCTATGGTGCAATGTTTTCCCATTTCAGACCATGTGTCATTCTAAAGAATGAGATCCTTCGTTTGAGTTGTATCTATGTATCTAGAGAATGACACGTGGTCTGAAATGAAAGAAGTGCCCAAGCTACGAATATGAGAGCTTGGTTATGTTTATCGAATCAAAGTGCTCCTCCAGTCCTCTGGATGAAGACTGCATTGAGAAGGTAATGGTACACCCATTCTGTGAGTGCTTCAAAGGGAAAAAAAAAATTTTTCGATCATACCTGTATCTGGTGAGGATGAGCTGATTTGTCTAGATAAAGTAATCGTCTTCTTGTTTTGATTCCCATATACGTGTTTCATCCACTTTCCAACCGTTTCTGTCAATTCCCAGTCAATCTTTCTCATGTGGATCAAGTCCAGCCATGGATCCTGTTGAAAGACACAATTTCTTCTCTCAATTTACCCACGGATTAGACTTTTAGTTTCTATCTACTAATTAATCTGAACATCTTTCACAGTAGTGTAAAAAATACTCTACCTGTTGAACTAGTAACAACGCATGATATTATTGCTCAACCAATCAAAATACAAGGAAAATCGGCATCATTTAGTGGTGACAAAGACTGTATCTGTATCCGTATCTCTCCTTCCCAGTCCCACCCCTTTCCCTCTTCCCCAATCCCCCTTTCTCTTCCCAGCCCTTCACCCAAAGAGGCTGGCTACACAGGCTGGTGTCCATACTAACCTGACTTCCTTTTAACACCAATTCCAATCTCTGAGGGTCGTATAGTGGGGGTAGAGAGAGTAAGTAGAGATTTGGATCATGCAGTCGAGGCTCATCCAACCAAAGAGCGAGTACTTCATAAAACCTGAAATACCGATAAATGAAACAAGTTTATAACAGGTCTCTTGTAAACAGATTCCTGTCTCGATTTATTAAATGAATCAAGTTTAAAACAGGTTTTAAAACATGTTCACAACTCCATAAATCAATCTAATTAAAAACAGGCTTCCCTGGTAAAACCAGTTTCTTACTCCATAAGAACAGGTTTGGTGGGTCTAACAGGGTTTCTCATTCCTGTTTAACCAGTTCAAAGATAATCTACTTACGAGGAGAGCTTTTCATGAAAAGCCTTTGTCTCTTCAAATTGCTTGTCAATTTCTTGATCACCCTCCCCCACTGAGTCTTGGTCGACACGTGTCTGTGACGTCATAGACCGGTGGTGTTCAGCGATAGTTTGTAGGCGCTGCTTCATTCTCTTTTGTAAAGACACGTCTGCTTGACTTTCAAAGAATCGGTATCCAACACCTTCACGCTGAGGCAAGCTGATGATGATATGATAAACATATATAAAAATATAATAAAAAAAGTTACCATCATCACTATCATTATCATTACCAGCATCATTATCATAATCAGCATCATCAAGTATCATCATAATCACAGTCATCATAAATCATTATCTTCACCATCATCACCATCATCATCATCATCACCACCACCACCATCACTGCCATCACCATCATCATCATTACCATCTTCATCATCATCATCACCACCACCACCATCACTGCAATCACCATCATCATCAGTAGCTGCAGAAACGATGATACGATGATTAACTGAAGACAATCCTCTACTCTCATACAGATAATTCTTCCGAGTTTCTTTCTGTCCTCCACATAAAAGTCAGGAAAGGGTTTGAAAATTTAACAATCTTTTTTCAGAGTAACAGGACCTATGGTTTACTCTATCTAACATTACCATGTCTTACCCAGGTTGTGAAGATGGCCTTGAAAGGTATAATCTAAAAAACCTTTGCCAAATCAAAGGCAAAATGGGATGATCCATGGCAGTGTTGAGAGTCTGGTTGGCCCACCGATAGATACTGAGATTGTACGTCTGGGGAGTGGAACCTAGCTTCATCACCTTGGTAACTTTCTGGTAAACAAACAAACAAGCAATATCAGCCAATCAGTTCCTAGGACTTCTGACTCAGCATTGATACAGAAACATATGAATGATTGGTGTCGACTGTTGAGGACAGACAAACAGTTGGATAGACAGACAGACAGACAGTTAACTTACCCTAAGAGCATAGTCAATATTGATGTCTTGTTTTTTGAGACGTACAGTGTACTTTAGTAAGTTAGACAGACAGACAGACAGACAGACGGACGGACAGACAGACAGTTGACTTACCCTAAGAGCATGGTCAATATTGATGTCTTGTTTTTTGAGA